CAAGGGCCAAGTCTGCCTAGCTGTGGGTACACTCTGCTTGAAACTACCTTGGCCACCCAAGGGAAAGCCCCTCACTGAGTGGGACCCTGGACTGAGGAGTAAGGTCAGGCTGGGGGAGGGGAAATCAGGCCAAAGAAGGAAAACAAATGGCTGCGTGCTGGTCCTGTCTCTGCTTATTTGCTGTAATCTCGGACAAGTTACTTAACCTCTCTGTACCTCGCTTTCCATATCTATAGCGCGGCACCTACCTTTTAGGGTTGTTGGGAGAACAAAACTGGTTAATATGCTTAAAAGGCCCTATAGCAGTGCACTGCACATGTTTGCTGACATGTCACTCTAGCTAGTACTTGGCTCTCCTGAGGCTATTTCTTCCCCTATGTTACTGGACGGTGATCCTTGTCTCCTGGAATGATGTTAAGTTAGATAAAGTAACAAATGTGCAGTGTCAGGCACACAGTAAGTGCTCAAATCAAGGAGGGCTCCCTCCCTTTCCCCCTCCTTTCCCCAAAAGGGCCCAGACTAGGAATCAGGGTCAGTCCTGACCCCCGCCCCCCACCCAGAGTGTGCTGTGTGATCCTGGTCCCATTCCTGGTCCTTGGCCTACCCAGATGGCCTACCCATCTGTGAAAAAACCTTCTGGGCCAAAAACGGACTGTCCATGGCCAAATCTGCTCTAGCCTCCCTGCCACCTCCATTCCCTCCTTCCTTCTCCATTTCTAACTCATGTCCTTCCTACTACATCCCCTCCTGCTGCAACAGAAAGTGGGTGAAGGATACAGCTAGTTGGCAAGGGGTACTAGCCTGCAAGCAGCCCAGGGCTCATCCCAGGCCCCCAAGGGTTAAGATCCATAGTGAAGGCTGGGGGGCCAGGGTCAGCCCTGGACAGGCAGGCCTGCAACCCAGGGCTGCCTCCCCTCCCCCCAACCCTGGGAACAGAGGCTACTTGTTTGGATGGCTTTGAGCTTGGCTAAAGAGGGAGTAGAGTGGGGAGGGGAGAGGGCCCCTGCAGAGTGGAGAGGACTCCTACTCTCCAGCTCATGCCTAGGCTTAGTATAAGGCTAGTCCACCACCAGCCCCTCAGACTCTCAGAGGCCCCTTACCCCTCTGAACTGACTTCTTCCACCCAGGTTCTTCGTTTTCTTCACTCACTCACTGCTGGGGCAGGATTTCAACTCAGGCCCAATTCGTGCCCTAGCAGAGTCTCTTTTTGGAGCATGGGACCATGGCTTATCACCTCATCCTGCAGATGGGGAAATGGAGGCTCTGAGAAGTTAAGGGACTTGCAGAATCACATAGGGTTTGGTGGCTGCATGGGGATGCCCCAGATCCCAGTCATCCCTGTGGCTGTGCAGGCCCCTTCTTCCCCCAGAGCTCCAAGGAGTCCCTTCCTAAGCTGTGCCACTGTACAGGACAGAAAGGCTAGGCAGGAGGAGGCAATAAGCAGCCCACCTCTGAAGTCCCAAAGGACGCAGGAGATCTGGATGGCAAGAAAACTTCCGGAGGGTTTTGTGCAAGGGGGATGGGGAATCAACCTGCACAGAGGGCTGAGGCTTGATATGTGGAAAAGCATTGCTGGAACCTGGGAGGTGGTGAGGGTGAGTCTGGGGCCAAGTGGGGAGACCTCATTAATGAAGCCTGGGGCAATCTGGGCCCCTAGTGGTCCCTGGTCACTTCCATCTCACCAGTTGTCAGGATTCTGTCAGGGACAACAACTCCTTGCCCTACTCCAGTGAGCAAGCGGCAAATGGGGAGGCAGGGTCCCCACGCCAGGGTTTGGACAATCCCCAACCAGCCATAGAACACAGAGATTAAGTTCTCTTTACACACTGCCCTAGCTACTCCTTCCAGCCACACACATATCCTTGCCATTCCTCAAAAATACCACCCAAGTCCCTGCCTTTGCACAAGCTATGCCCTCCTCTGGAGGGCATTTATTCTTACGAATTGCCACTTAACTGCCAAGGCCCATTCCAGTTTACTCCCTTACGGGCCTCCAAAAGTCCTAATATGATTCTATCTCAGTACCTGTCAGCACCTGTCTTCATGACTCTGCTGGACTCCTTCTACCCTGTAATGAGCTTGCTGGGAGGTCTCCCCTAGCCTGAACACTCTGCTCTCCAAGGACCGGCATCCTGGGTGCTGTCTGGACCTCAGGGCTCAGCACACAGTCAAATCCTTTCCTGAGTACCTCCACATATCTGTCCTTCCCTGCATCTCTCCCTCCCCCAAGCCTGGGCATCATGAAAGCCTCCCTGGACAGGAGCTCACATGTGGAAAGGGAGTACATAAGCCGGAAGTTATACTGTGATGGCTCCTCAACAGAGTTCCCAAGCACCAACTATCCCTGGAGATCTGGGACCAAATACCCAGCCCTGATCTCCCCAAGGCAGTACTCCAAGTCTGCTCTCTGCAGTCCCGATAACCCACTCCCGGACTGACCCCATTCAGTGAACACACACCTTTCTGCAGCAACTGGGCCAGGTAGGAGCTCTTGGGAGTCCATGGCCCCATTTACTGGTGGGGAATTGAGGCGCAGAGACCGGAAGTACTCTGCCCAAGATCACTGGAGCCCCGAGTCCAGGTATGGGGTCATGCGAATGTGCAGCGTTGTAAGGGTCTCCACAGTGAACGAGGTGGGGCCGTTCACTTCACGGAAGAGAAAAGCAAGGCGCCCAAGGGAGGGCGAGCTCCGGATTCTGGGAGCCCTCAACCCAAAGCGCTAACTGCTGGAAGCCCCCTGTCCCGCCGGTTTGCCCTCCTCCCCACGGCCTCAGGCCCGACCTCGCAAACCCAGAAAGCCACCTCCGTTCCCACCACCAGACAAGAAAACAGTGCGTGACGCGGGAGAAACGCCCGCGGAAGTAGGCGCTGGGCGCAGAGTCGCCGCGCCGCCTCGGCGTTCCCTTCTGCCGAATGGGGAAACTCCGGGCCACACCTGGCGAAGGAGCGCCGGACCGGGAGGCCCTAGCTGCCGCACTGACCTGTTCTGAGCGAGGACTGCACTCTGAGGGACCTGGGGTCCCGGCGCCGGCACGGACTCACTGCGTGTAGCTAACTCGCGGCCGCAGGCTAGGCGCGCCCACCCGGCCGGGCGCTTCCGCCCGCCCCACGTGACGCCCCGGGAGGGGAGGGCGGGGAAGGGCAGGGACCCGCCCCTTCCCGGCTCCGCCCAGCCGCGGTCTTTCAGTCAGCTGGCCTCCAGCGCCTTGCGGACAGGTCCGGTGTGTGTGTCTCCCCTGTCCATCCCGCTGCTCACAGGTCCGTCTCTGTCTCCTGAGGCTCAGGTCTACCCCAGCTACCCCCGCCCGCTGAGTCTCCATCTCTTCCTGAGTCTCCCTGCTTCTTGCCACCCCTCTTGTTGACTCAGTCCTCTAGAGTGATGAGCCACACAACCCCCACCCCCCAACCAGCGGCTCAGACTCGCAGTATGGTTAAGGGGCAGGATGACCAAGGTCCCTGGCCTTCTCCTCCAGGAGGTCCTTTCCCACCTCATTCTCAGAGGATATCCCACTTCTCTTCCAAGGCCCACCATCTCCCAGAGGCAGTCCTGCCCAGAGCACCCAAGAATACCTTGGCAGAAGGCTGCAGCCTGAGGCCCTGGCACCCAGGCACCTTCTCTGGCCTGGAGAGTGAAAGATTCCCATCATTTCTGCCAGCATACACACAGAAGAGGGCCTGGGGTTTGGCAGTCATCCTTGGGTCCTGTGTCCAGGGCACCTCTGGGGCCAGCCAAACCAGAGAACTTAAATTCTCTATGCTTCTGTTTCTCCAAATGCCCAATGGAGATATTTGGAAGAACAGCTCTCACCAGGGTGGGGCATGGGGGTTTACTTTGAGATTGGGAGCTATTGATATAGCACCTACTAAATGCCAGGCCCCATTGTTAGACAATTTATTCCTTCATCTCAATCCTCACACCTCTGCTTGAAGGCAAAAATCATCACCCAGGTTATGGAATAGGAAATGAGGCTCCATGAAGTTCCAGGACTTGCCCAAAGTCACAAAACCAGTATTGAACAAACCTGGGACTGGAACCCAAGTCTCAGTGAGTTACAGAATCTCCTGCCTACCCTCCACTGGACATTTACCCTATCCCTCTAGAAAAAAGTCTACTTCAAAGCTAATTCAAGCTGCTTCCCAAAAGGGGAGGGCAGGGCCAGACCTTGGGGAGAACTTCCAGGCCCGAAATTCATATGGGCTGAAAAACACTGGAGACTGGGCAGAGCACAGGGCCTTCCTCCCAGGCTGACAGCAGGAGGATCCCTTGGGCAGCAGAGGGCACCCAGAGGCCACAGAGAACAAGGAGGCCGAGGCTACCCTCTAGAGCTCAAAGGCCAGACTCAAATCAGACAGCTGAAACACAGGACCCGGGGATTGGCATCTGACCCCTGACAACGTGCTGAGTCTTCTGTTAACACAGGACTGAGGTCTTCAAAATGACCTAGGGAGGGTTTCAATCACAGGGTCTGGTCCCTCCACTGGAGTCTGATGACCCTCACCTCAACCCCTAACCTCAGATCTGAGGCCTATAGCCCTGTGGTCTGCACCTCTCCCTCTCCCTACCGTGACAACTGAAGAGGGTCAGACCCCCAGTCCATAGGTTGGACCCAAGGGGCCTTAAGCTGAATGTCACACAATAGAACCCCACCCTCTGATTCCCTGACCTGGGGCCTGGGGCCAGAACTGCACCATCTCATAGAGCAGCAAAAGGTAGCCAATCAGCCCAGAGTGAATGGCAAAATAAACACACAAGGACAGGTGGATGGATGAAGGATGAGCTAATGCAGAGACACCAGAACACATCATGGACAGGGGGAGGGGATGACCCCTCTTTCCCGCCCCCAGCTATACATGGGGAAATGAGGAGATGCCCAAAAGAGCAAAGGTCAGGTGATCGATAATAAAATTAACAAAATTAACAAATTAACTGCAGAACAAGAGGACCAAGGGCCTCGGTCTGCTCTGGCAGGTGTTGGAAGCAGGTACAGCAATGAGCCGGCTGAGGCTGTGGGATCGTTTATTAGGGCCGTGTCCAGCCAGGCCGCAGCGCCAGCCTGGGCCCAAGCCCAGCGTCCGCAGGAGGGGCGGGGCGTGGGGGCGAGGGGAGGAAGCTCGGAGAACCCCCGTCCCCGGGCTCGCCCCGTCTTGTCCTGGTCCCTGCGCGATGCCGTGCTCAGGTGAGCGAGGTGTCGTCGTCGCTGCCCTCCCCGCCCGCGCCGCCCGCGCGCTCCTCCCGGCTCTCGGTCACCGAGCTCTCGTCGATGTTCTCCAGCGAGTCCGCGTGCTGCACGGACAGCTCCGACAGCGCCAGGCTCGGCAGCGGGCTCTGCTCCGGGTGCAGCCACGGCTTGAAGTGCGGCTGATGCTTCTGCTTCCACTCAGGGTACTTGACACATGCTCTGTACATCTTCTTCATGGCCTGCCAGCCGGCCGCAACAAAAACAGGCATGAACCAGGGCTAGGGCTTGACCAAGTCCCCTCCGGCGCCGTTCAGGCGCCCAGTCCCCGCTCCGGGATCTGGACGCTGGCCCCTTACTGACCCGGCCCCTCTGCCCGACCTCTGCCTCTCGTTCCAAGTCTCTATCCCGGCGCCCACCCCCTCACCTCAGAACTTCACCAGCCTCCAAACCCCAAAATACCACAGCCACTCACCTTGGGAGCCAGGAACTGAGAAGATTTATTCACCACCCACTTGGGTAAAGAGCCTAAGAGGGCAGGGAAGGGCGTAAGGAGAGAAGGGAAGAAACAACCTCAGGGACCTGGCCCAACCGAACACACACACTAGCCTCCTTCCTCCAGCCTGGGGCTTCTGGGAAGGCTGCTCCCTTCTCCATGAGGGTAGTGTGAGGCAAGTCCTGTAAGACTTTATCCTCCTCACTCCCTCCTTCCATCTGAGACCAACGTCCTCAGGCTCAACTCTGTTTCCCCCATGCCTCTGCTGAGCCCCAGGGGGCTGCATGGAAGAAAACCACAGGGTCCAAGGTGACCACTGGTTACACAGGGCTGGGGGTGGAGAGTCAAAATCCTGACCCACCAAGCTCCTGACTGCCACCTCCCTCCACTCACGCCAAAGGCCCTTCTCACACCCAATCCCTCTAGTGTGAGTGGCCCTCATGCTCAGCCCCTCTGCTACCTGTCCTTCCAAACCCCTGCCCCAGGAAGCATAGCTGCTACAGAAGCCTCTTGGCCTGACCTGGGATCCATAGCACAGAGCTCCACCCTACCTCATTCCCAAGTGTCAGCTCTGCCTCTGACACCCAAAACACTCACTCACTGAGGTGCTGGGTCACTGGGCCCTTGGCGAGCTTGGGACATACCCAGGCCTACCCACCTTCTAGTCGTTCACTCATTCACTCACTCCACCTTCACTCAGTGATGCCCACCCTGGGCCAGCCTAGGGACCCAGAGAGCAACTCATTTGGGAGCCCAACAGTGTGCCAAATACTCTCCTACAGGAGGACGGGCCCACACAGCGGGCAGCCAGCAGCTCCTCTGGCTATCAGGGAGAGGTGGTGACATCTGAAGCTGCCTTGAAGGGATGAGGGAGGGAGGAGAGCTGTTTCCAGGCTGAGGGACAGGGATGTCTTGACAGGGATGGGGGGACTTGTGTGAGGAGGAACTGGGAAACTCAGGGAGGGGGCTTAGACTTCACTCTGAGGGCAATGGAAAGTCACAGAAGAACTTAAAGCAGAAGAGAGTCATGAGGAAATGAGTGTTTTGGAAAAATCACTCTGGTAACTGGACTGACAAGGTAACTGAGTATAGAAAGAAATGACATATTCAAGAGCTACTTAGGAGGCAGACTCAGTAGGAATCAGTGACCAGATTTGGGAGCTGAGAAGAGGGAGCCCCAGATGACCCTCAGGTTCTAGGCATGGGTGACTAGAGGGCAGAGACTTAGGAGAAGGGGCAAATCAGGAGGGGAGCAGTGAGTTCAGCATAGAACACAGTGAGTCTCAGGTCTTAGAAGACATCCTGAAGGACATGTCCAAGAGGCCAATGGCCACCTCAGATCTCAGCAGAGAAAGACATGTTGTCAATTTGCCATAGAAGCCTATTAGCTGAACCCTCCCAAGGGAAGAAGGCCTAAGACCTGGAAAACCCAGGCCTCAGGATGAGCAGAGGAGGGAAGCCAGCAAGACAGACAGTGGGACCAGTCAGTGAGTGGGAGCAAGTTACAGCCCAGGGCTGTGGGAGCCCAGGAAGAGAGCTCTAGGCCTTGTCATGGAGTAGTGGCTGCCATGTGGTCCTTGCTTTCCAAACGGTTGTGAGTCTTAAACCTTGGTTCAAATAATGTTTTGAATGGAGATGGCCCAAATACAAAACAGCTCTTAACAGAGGCCCTTCTGGAATACCTAGTAGATCAAGCCCCATTGCCTGTGGTATAGGAAAGGATCTCATGATAGGGTGCCAGGGCCAAGCCCTCACCTTTAGGGTCCACCTGGGCCAGGTAGGTGATGATGCAGCTCTTGGGCCCCGTGCTCTGGATGAGGTAGCCCGTCTGGATGGACACAGCTCGGACCAAGTCTTTCCGAGGTGGGTATTTCTGGGGATGGAAGGTACAGGGAGTTGACACTCAGGAGGAGAGGGCAAAGGAGGGTCTTTGTGAGTACGTATGTATGTAGACATACACGTAAACACATACACACACATAGTTAGTTCACATCCCCTGGCATCCACTCCAGGCCAGGCCTGATGCTGGGGTGAGGAGAAAAGGAGGAGTTAGACTAGGTCATCCTTGGCGCCTCTAAAGCCTTCCCTCTTCCCCTCAGGCAAGCCCCCATCTGGTGTCAGGGTTCATGAGCACACCCATGGGCACTGCATACATACACACACATTCATCCTGCCTGTCCTGCCTGCCACGGAGATTAAAGTGGCCCAGGCTCGGGAATGGCCAGAGGATCCTACCTCTCAACCTGCTCCCTCCTTCCCAGGCCAGCTCTTCTCAGAGCCCAACCAATGGAAGTAAGCCCATCCTGCCCCCTTGCCCACAATGAGGGGCCGCACTGCTGTCTCCTCACCTGCCTGAGAGCCCAGCAGGGAGACAGGGGGTGCTATTATTATCACTACAGAAAGGCAACCAAGGTCCAGAGGGCTTCATGCCTGGCCCAGAGTCATAGGAAGCCATGGTAGCAGCCAGGGGCCTCTCCCTGGGCTAGACCTGCTGGCCCAGCCTTACCTGGCACTTTTCCCTGCCCACCCAACTGGAAGGCAGGTTGACTCACAGGATGTTTGACTGAGTAGTTCATAATGATGTAATCAGTGCCCATGGGGAGCCAGGAGCGGAGGGTGATGACATCACGGTTCTTCAGAGGCTTTGGACACCTCCCTGTGGAGGGCAAGGGACAGTTCAGCCAGACCCCTGGCCTGCCTGCCTGCCTATAAGGGAGGGTGTGGCAGAGGCAAGAGACACAAGGATGCTAGTTTAACCGCTAGCTCCCCCTGATCCAAGCAGGCACCCTCCCCACCCACTAGACCACAGTCCCAAAGCCAGAACTAGGAAAGAGAGCAGAACCCTCTCCCCTCCTCTTTAGCTATCTCTGCTCCTCATCACCTCACACAGCCCTTACCTTGCTGGCCTGACCTGTTTGTACATGTGGATGTGACTGTATTATTGCGCAGGTATACATGAAAATGTGTGCCTGTGAGTAAGTGGCATGTGGCTGTGGGTTGTGTACATGACTGTGCACATGTGTTTACGTGGACTATGTATATGTGAACATGAAGTACATATGTGTTTATGAGTATACATGTCTGTGTATGTCCACATGTCTGGGAGTAGACAGGAATGCAGGGAGAGCTCCGGCCCTCCCCTTGGGTGGTCCTACATCCCAGCACTCTGAGGAGCCTGGCCATGGGAGTGACCACAGGAGAGAAGGTGGGAGGAGGAAGCTTGGTTGGAGGCCTTGATGGGGGCGCTTGCGCCTGCTCACAGGAGTAATAGCCCACATCAGCGTTGACTGTCAAGCGGGCGATGTCGAAAGTCTCAATGACATTGCTGTCCCACTTCTTTCGGTATTCAATGTCGTGTAGGACATCATAGAGTGTCTCAGCTGACACATCGCTGCACTCCATCCGGCACTGCAGACAGACAATGGGTTGTCAGAGTCACACAGGGTGCAGAGGCCTGACCAGAAGGCAGACAGGAGAGGAGGACGTGGACAGGGAGAGCAGCGATCTCTGAAGCCAGCATGGGCTTATCTCTTGCCTCAAGCCTTACAGCCCTTGAGAAACCACCTGCACCAGGAGACAGACAGACCCTGGATCCAGAGACCATTTCCCCCATCTCAGCCCCCACCAACCCTCCCGATTTCTCCCAGTCTCTTCCTCCAAGAATCCTTCCTGAATCACCCAGCCAGATCTTCTGGACTCCTACTACACTGACTCTCTGTATCTGTGCCCACCTAGACACCTGAACTTCATGGGCAGAGGCTCATGGTTGATTCAGTGCAGAATCAACGCACCTCGTGTGGGTGCATGTTAAACTAAATGGAAGCATGAACATACATCTAAATGAATGATTTCTCTCCTCCCCTTGTCCTTTTTTTTTTTTCATCTAACCTAAACCTCTAGATTTCTTACTATTGATTAGCCTTGTCCTCAAAGAGCTTTCCACCTAGAGGAGAGGAGCCAAGGATACCTTTTTTATTTACTCCTCACAACAACTCTGTCAGACAAGAAATCCAAGGAGAAACTTGAGGCTCAAAGAGGTTAAGCAACTTGCCCAAGATCACCACACTGGTAAGTTGCAGAGCTGGGATTTAAACCAGATCACATGTCTGGAAAGCAAGTAAAAACAGAACCAGGTTTTGCAAATTTTGTATTTAGCAAGATGAAACTCAGTCCATGTCCGTGTTTTGTGATTTTTTTTTTTTTTACCCAAGAGCCCAAACCCCAGGATCAAGTTCCCCTCAGCAAAGGGACAAGTTTTCTTGTGTAATTTTAAAAGGTCTGCCAGAAGCGGGACTTCAGACAGTCCCAAAGGAACTACACATACACACATTACTTTCTACTAAAAAGGGGATATACAACATCAGAGGAGGGAGGGGTCACATTGCCTTCCCCCTAATCTTGGGTTAGGCCTTGGCACCACTAATCACTAGAAGGACACATCACTACCGTCAGGTATTCCAGGGACCAATGAACTCATCAAGCCCTAGATAGACTTCATCTTACAGGAAATACGGAAGACAGAGGAACAAGCTAGGAGTTACCATGGGAATACAACCATACAAAGCTAGATGTTGAGAGTTTCTGCAGAGCCACTGGTCTAGTCTCTTCTGTAGGTCAGTACCATAAGGAAAGGACTGGGCAAAAACAAGAGATTTATAGAACACACAACCAGAAAAAAAGTGTGACCCTGGATTACATACTGGCTTGGACACAAGTGCTTCAAAGACATGGCTGGGACAACTGGAGAAATGTGAATATGATCTAAGTATTAGATGTGCTGAAAATTTACAGAAACTAAATGGTGGAGATTGGTGCCTAAAGAAAAGCAGGTTACAAAATGGAACGCATGGTATAGTCTCCTTAGGGGTGGGCTGGGGAAGTGATGCATGCACAGAAAAGGTCCTGAAGGACAATCACTAAGGTGTCAACAGATCTCTAAATGATGAGAATATTGGTTTTATTTTCTTTTTGCTGTCCATAGTCTGATTTTCTAAAATGTATAGTACTGCTTCTGCAATAATAAAAAACTTCGAATGGAAAGTTCCCTCAGGGATACTGAGAAGGGCACTCTGGATAAAGTGAAGGTTCCTGTGGCCGGGATTCTCACCTGGCCCTGGTCGGCTAGCTCACTACACATGTGGGCAATGCTTCATTATTGACTCTATATAAAGAGCCCTGCCCAGTGCTCTGGGCGAAATGGTGGCATGGTTGGGTGACACAGTGGCATGGTTGCAAGGCTGCAGGAGAACAGAGCCTGGAGTGGTGGCAGCGTCAAGGACAGAAGCCCAGAGGATGGCTGTACAGGTAGAGAGGCCCAGAGGCAGAAACCAGTCTCCTGCATGCAGACTTGCTCTGAATGAACAGGATTTTAGTGACTGACCTGCCACCATGGAAATAAAGTTGGGTATAACCCTTTCACTCCAAGAAAGTTCTACTGTCATTTCTTTGGTCACACTGAATCCACAGTGAACTTGCCCAGCTGAAACCCTTTGGCAGGACAGGCATTCACCACATGCCAGGTACTATCCTAAGTGCTTTATACACATTTTATTCTAAAGCAATGCTCTGAGGTATTACCCCATTTTAGAATTAAAACTGAAGTCAAGGACAGACTCCAGTCTACAAAGAAAAAGTCATTGTGTGACCCTGAACAAGTGACTCTCCCTGTTTCATTTTCTGCTCCATAATAGGGTACAACTAGACCCAATCATTTAACTAGCAACCCAGAGTTCCAGCCTTGTACAGAACACAGAAAAATCAGGGGTGAATCTGAGGCCTGGCTTTGAGTGGTTTCCAGTGGAGGGAGGAGACCAACTTGAAAATGGAGAGGTGCCCTAAATTGCCCAGTGGGGCACCAACGAGGAGCCAGCTCTGAGGGGTGGGGGGGATCAGGCTTTATGGAGCTCAGTCTGGAAGGTGGTTAGCAACGAGAACCACCAAGGCACAGGTGCAGAGGCAGACAAGAGTACAGCCTGTAGGGAAGCCGAATGAGTTCGTCTGCTCCAGTCCCCATGGTGTGGTGTAGCCCAATAACAAAAGGCCCTGGTGCCAGGTCTTGGAGCAATGCAGGATTCTGAGGCTGGGTCAGAGTAGATATAAGATGAGCCTGGAACATCTTATTGTGCCAGAAAGTAAGGACGTACTCACAGAATGACAGGGACCTTGCCCAGTGGACATGGGAGCCAGTGAGAATGGCTCCCAGTGGCTGAGTGACCAACTCATTGGGGTTTCCTGAGCATTTCCCAGTTTTAGAATTGAAAGTCCCACATCCTGAGAAACCCCTCAGTACCAGACAAACTAGAACAGTTGGCCACCTACCCCAGGTTAAAGCTGGGACCACCCATGTCAAAATAAATAATGACAGCGACAGATTATATTCCACTGAATAAAAAATAGGAAACGAGTGTATATGTTTGATGAAGAATAAGGTATTTACATAGCTTCAAAGTGTCTTCCTATCAAATACTTAAAAATACAAAGGAAGAATCAGTAAACTCATAGAAAAGCCTGGCAGATCCCACCTTAATCTGTGATCAGAGTGAACACCATTAGTAATGGGACATGTTACAGCTGCATGTTGACAGAAAGGAGGCAATGAAAAGAACACAGGCACCAGTTATGTGAAACTTCTGTCAAAGATGCATAACCTTAAATCTAATCATAAGGAGAATCAGACAAACCCCAAATGAGGGACTTTTACAAAATAACTGGTCTCTAAATCTCAGGTTCATGAAAGTCAAGGGAAGACTCAGGAACTATATGAGACTGAAGGAGAGTAATGACATGTGAGTGCAGGAATAAGTGAACAAACGAGTGAACAAAGTGAGGGGATGGATGTGATGGTGAGAAATGGACATGGAGAAGATAGCAGAGGCCAGGTCTGGCATCCTTAGCAGATGGAGATCAGGGTACTGCACCAGACGTTCACCAAACATTCATGCTTCACCCCAAGCTTGTGACCTGGTATTATTCCTGTGCTGCCAAACAGAAGGCAGGCACAGGAGATTAAGTCACCTGCCCAAAGCAGACAGCAAGAAAACAGCAGAGCAGGGATTCAAACCTGGATCTTCCTGTGCTCCTAACCATCAAGAAGTGCTTATGTGGCTTCTGAGAAAATGAGAACTTCTCTTAAGTCCAAGTATGTAAGCAATTTGGCTTTGCAAGTCCTCAAACGTGTTATCCTGGACAGTGAGTGTATAGAGAGACAGTGACAACAGAATAATGCTCTAGGTTAGAATCCAACCTGGGAATGCCTCTTCCCTCCAGTCAGGCTCAGTGTCCCCAGGGCCCAGGTATCCCATGGCTGGGGGCACACTGAGAAGGGACCCCTGCTGCCCATACATGGCCCATTCTTCCTCAGAGACTCCTGGGTCAGGGCTTCTGTGGCTTCAGAACCAAAGGCCTCCCATTGGGACAGCAGGCAGTAGGCGGAGCATGCAGAGCCACAAGACAGACCAGGCATGAACTGAGTGTAAACTCTGCATAATATTTTATAGTTAAGATAAAGAGGGACACTTCAAAGGTTCCCCAGGCTGTGCCAGACTCGGGAAGGAAGGCCAGCAGCAGGGCCTGCTGGGAGAAGGGCCCTGGGAGGGTGAGAACCCAGGCTGTAGCAGCAGGCACTACAGGGATGGACACAGGCAGTCTGGGTAGCTGGGCTGCAGAGTGTCCACGAGTGTCCCCATACCGCGGTGGCAGGCTGCCTGGCCCCACTCTTTCCACAGCCCCCAGAAGGAAGGGCGTCTGTGCCAAGAGGGGTAAGTTACGTACAGCATTGTTCCTACCCAAACCACATTGCAAGGTGTAATTCTAAGAGACTTCAGGAAGGACAGGTGGGGGAGGCGGGGAGTCATCAGAGAGCACCAGTGGGCGGGCCTGTGACCTGAACGCTCAGCCACTGGGTTCTTGGCAAGTCAGTCACTTGGCAGGACACCTGTGCTCTCCCCAGCAAACCAAAACTGAAGGGAGTGGGGGCTGCTCCACCGCAGAGCCACGCTTGGCTACAAAGCCCTTAATGCCTGATTACAGCAGGGAGCCTGGCAGGCAGTCATTTTACAGCTGAGAAAGCTGAGGCCCAGAGGGAACAAGTAACACCAGAGAAATTATAGACTGTCCCCTGCACTCCGCTCTCTCCATAGCCTATGAGATGCAAAACTGGGATTGCCCAGACCCTGGGACCAGCACCCTCAAGTCCCACAGAGCCATGGTGAGAATAGACCTGGCATAGTGAGAAGCAAGAAAGGCCTGAGGGGAGTCTCCTGTAGGTTTTCAGTCTGGCAATCCCAGCTTCCAGTCCCAGCTCCTCCCCTTGGGCACAGGATTTAACTCTCAGTCTTAGTTTCCTCAAATGAAAAATGGGAATATAAGGGTACCTATCTCATGTTGTGATTAAATGAGATCATGCATAG